TTGAAGTCGATAACGCGAACACCAACGCAGGGCTTGGACTGGCTGTCGAGATATTCGTCATCTTCACCCGGAATGCCCATGTTTACCAAATCGTAGGATGACGGAACAGTGTGGCCGACATCGACAATACAAAACTGGAAGACCACGCGCTTGTCCATCTGTTGACTCATGACTTGAGCCTCCTTCAGGATAGCGGCGTTCTGCAAGAGCGTCTCGGCCATGGTGACATACTTTCTTCGCCGCCACTGTTTGAAGACAGTCCGGATCAACTCCAGTTGCTGCTCGTTCTGCTCGTTATGTGCATCCTTTGCTTCGGCTTCAGCTTCGCCTTCCGGGGTACCGCTGCTTTCAGGTACCCACTCGTGGCCAAGCTCTTTCATTTGACGTGCGAAAGCTTCTTTCTGCTGTTGCAACTGCTTCTGCATTTCTTCCTTCGCAGCTCGCAGCTCTTCCAACTCGACTTTAGCTTCTGCGTCAGCTTTCAGCTTTGCGCTGTAGTCCTCTTTCCGCTGGTCCATCTTCTCTTCCATGTCTTCTCGTATCTCCTCCATCTTCTCGCTGCCGTCTTGCCTTGGTGTGGATGGCATCGTCAACATGGTATCGAGCGAGAAGTTGTCTAGCGTCCCTCCAGAAGCATACTTCTCCCGTACAGGATATGAGGACATCGACTCTGTATCCTCGTCGCTGAAAATGCGACTCTCAGGACGTGCTTTGCGGGTTTCGCGCAACCTGCTGAGATCTTCGAAGAGAGCCTCGAAATCTTCGTCTGGAAGGTTTTCGATGCGTTTGTCTGGCCCCAACCATGCGGTGAGGGCTTCTCTGCGCGCGTACGAGAACTCGGATTCACGACCGCGTTGCCAGAATGCAGGCGATCCGGCTCTAGGACTATCAGGGTCGAAGTCAGAGTTCGCGATGCTGATGGCGCTGTACGATCTGTCGTGACCGGGTCTTGGTGCAGGCGAGGGAGAGTTGAGCTGACTGGCGGTAACCGTCTGCCGAAGTAGGCTTGTCCCTACTTCAGCACGCTCAGCTCTTGCCTCTTGCGGGTTGTTGAAGCGGAAGATGTGGAAGTCGCCAAGGATGATGCGGTGGCCGCTCTTGAGTAACCTTGGCTTGTCGATGCGTACACCGTTGACCATGACACTGGCGGTTTCCTGAGGTATCACCGTCACCTTGCCGTCCACGTTTTCGAAGTGACAGTGTTCGGCAAGAATTTGTGAGCCATTCAGACGTATTTGTGCGGTCTGACCTTCAACATCAGAATTGCCTACGGTCGTCGTCCCCGGTTTTAAGTTGTAGACGAGACATTCAGTCAAGAGTGGATCATCGCTCAAGTTGACCAAATGAGGCATGTTCTTTGGTGTTGACAGACCGACGAAACCCTTTTCAATGCTTATACCAAGCTCTTCCAGCGCGGCTTCTCGTTCCTTGTGAATCTCTTCCGTCTTCTGCAGCTTCTCTTCCCAAGTTTGGTTCAACTCGGTATAGAGTTTCTCTGATTGATCAAGCTGCTCTGCAATCTCGGCCTTGGACACCTTCTTGATTGAACCGTCTGCTTGTGTGATGGAAACGATCTGCTTCTCCAAGGGTGTATCGGGTGCGTACTGCTCTTCTATGATGCCGTTCGCTCCGGCAGTTCCACCACCTCCTCCACCCAGCTGAGACCGCAGTTTTGACAGTTCTTCCTTGAGCTCTCTGATCATGCGCGCGTTTGGGTCTTCGTTTACGACAGCGTGGTTCTTGATACGTTTCGCGGAGTCGGCGTAACGGAGGGTCGAAAGGGTCTCCTCGAAGTTGATGTCGGCCGGAGAAATGGCAGCAATCATGGCTGTCATACTGTTTCCTCCCAAAGAGTCTTTCAGAAGCCACGTCAAGATGGAGTCTCGATATGGCACTTGAGTCTTCTTCTTGCCCCCAGACGACTGGTCTGCAAGCGCTGCAATGACACGACCCAGTGTAGACAGGGACCTGTTGATCTCGGCACCCTCCTTCAATCGTGCGCCAGTGGCACCTGTCGACTGAGCTCGTTCTGATCCGGCCAAATCGACCAAACTGATCTTGGCGACCCTCTCTCCGCTCATGCTCGTCTCGACATCGTGGCGCTTCTGGGTGAGGGTAAGGGTGAAGACGGCGTGCGATCGCGAGGACGTCTCGTTCATGTTGGTGGCCGCTACGGTACGGGCCTTGTTTCCCTCGTCCATGAGGTTCTCGATTTCGGGAAAGGACTGAACGACCAACTTGGCGAGATCTTCGACATAGGGACCAGTAGACGGATGCTCTCGAACTCGCAAGTTTCCTTTATTCGACGGGTTCAGCAGGTCGCGTACGCGCTCGTTGTAGATTTCCAGATAGGACACTTCGACAGTGCAGGACGAGTTCTTGTCTGCTTGTAGCCCCTTGATTCTCTCGAACATGTCCTGGCAAATCTTGGGGATGATTCCGTACTCGGCGCCATAACCCATCATAGAGTACGACTTTCCGGAACCCGTCTGACCGTAGGCGAAGATACAGTTGTTGTACCCCTGGAAGGCATTGTCGAGCAACGGCTTGCCAAGGTCTTCATGGAGGTTGTCCTGGCCGGCATAGTTGGGAGCGTCGCGGTCGAAAGACCAGTATGACCTGTCGAAGGCGAACGTCTTGGTGCCCTCGGAGGCGGCTTTGGCGGCTTTTCCCTTGATATCGGCATGGGCTGGAGGGGAGAGGATGGTCTGGTCGCCCTTCATCTGCACGATACATTGTGCATTGCGCGCCTTCTCTGCGCGTTGTCAGTTGCGGCGCCGTAGTCATGCGAGGGGGCTGCCTACCTCGGCCGTTGAAAGGCCTACATCGCACCACGACCTTGATGTTTCCTCCGCCAGACGCCATGGTGTGCGTGGTAACCTTATTTGTGCTGGAAATCCGGGGTATTCGGACAAAGGAGATGGCAACGGGCCGCTCGGTCTATGCAGCGATCAGACGCGGGATCCGGGAGACTTCATGGGCGGCGACGAGGGGGCACGGGCGAGGATGAGGGCGCGGTCGCGGTCATCCACGGCTCAGGAGGTGGTGCTATGGCGAAGTTGTTTTGTTGATTGACCACCCAAGTGCAAGATTAGGTACGCGATCCTGGTGTCCTGACCCCTGCAGCCGACCACTACGCTTGGACTGGCCTGTCGTCACCTGTGCAGCGGACCCTGACGCCGTTCAGAAACACTGACACCTCTACACGTCTGCACGTAGTCGAGACGGATATACGATGATTACACGTGTCTCAGGCGCGAATACCCTCCACGTCTCGAGGGGTCGCGCCCAAACGGGTCGGTACCTGACATGTGCCATGCTGGGGTCATCCTAACGGTGCCTGCGTCATCCCTCACCAAAAAATAATTCCCCAGCCGCGACGAACCCACGCGACACCAGTATTCACGCGCCCACGATTCAATGTCGGCCACAGAAGCGACCAACGATATGTTTGCGCCCCCCGTAAACCGCGCCATGAAGGTGCTGGACCGCAGCTTCTTCCAAAAGACCATCCCCACCTCGGCCGCCCGCATCTTCAACCCCAAAGACATATCGCGATGCCGCAAGGAACTCACCGCCAGCAAGGACGCGCTGCCAAGTAATCGCATAGATCCGATAAGAGTCGATCCCGATTCAGAACAAGCATCCAAAGGCAGCAAGTGCCTGCTCCTGCGACCAGAAGTCGTCCACTCCGGTGAGTCACCCCACGGTGGTAGTACATGGAAGTACTGAGTCTGAAACCAGGCAGATCGAACAACTTGGTCCCCTAAGCTACGCGATCTCGAGCAAGACGGCACGCTAGGAGTCATACCTTACCAGCTGCAGCTCAACTACGACTACTTCACCTACTCCGAGATCACGAGCGCAACCATCCCCCCACCCGAGTCCGTCCACGACGATGAGATACCCCAAGGTTTCGCCCTCGCCGGCCATGTCGCCCACCTAAACCTGCGCGAACGGTACTGGCCCTACAAGCACCTCATCGCGACGGTCCTCGCCGACAAGAACCCCATGGTCAAGACGGTCATCAACAAGCTCGACAACGTAGGCACCGAGAACGCATTCCGCACCTTCCAATACGAAGTGCTCCACGGCCCAGACGACATGAACGTCGAACTGCGTGAGCAAGGCTGCACCTTCAAGTTCGACTTTGCCAAAGTATACTGGAACACGCGTCTACACACGGAGCACGAACGGCTCTGCAACCTGTTCCGCGAAGGCGAGGCCGTCTGCGACGTCATGGCCGGCGTGGGACCCTTTGCCATACCCGCGGGCAAGAAGAAGTGCTTCGTCTGGGCCAACGACCTCAACCCCGAATCCTACAACTCGCTCGTCGGCAACATTAAGATCAACAAAGTAGGCGACTTTGTCCGTTCCTTCAACACTGACGGCGGGGCCTTTATCCGTCAAGCCTCTGCCGATCTATTGACGAGCGACGAGCACTCCGTATCCATCTTCCCCAAAACCAAATCTTCGCGCAGCAGACCGGAAGAGAACAAACAGCCTGAACCCCTCAAGACACTCGTCCAACCACGCTTCTTCTCACACTACGTCATGAACCTCCCCGCCTCCGCCATTACCTTCCTCCCCTCATTCATCGGTCTCTACGCCAACGTCCCTGGACACCCTGCTGCTGAAATCAAGAAACTCCTCGCGCCGCACACTTCGCAGAAACTGCCCATGATCCATGTACACTGCTTCTCGACCAAGAGCGATGATAATGTGGAGGAGATTAAGGGTATTTGCGAAGAGATTAGTAGGCAGTTGGGTACGGTCATCACCCCCGATATGGAGGACGTTAACGTGTATGATGTGAGGGATGTGGCGCCCAAGAAGAGGATGTTCTGTGCTAGTTTTAGGTTGCCCGAGGAGGTGGCTTTTAGAGAGGTCTGAAGATCGGCATCCTAGATGTACAGGGAGTGGGAAGATGGAGTCACGAGTTAGTAAAAGTGTCAAGATGTTGATGAGACCAGGGCGATGGAGACCCTTCCTGCTTGAATACGCTTCTATATACTACCACTTGTCGAGTGTAATGTGCTCTTACATCTTGAAGCTATAACTATAGGCGAGTGGTTTTGATTAGTCATATCACAGTCCTCCACTTCTTTCATAGATCCATCAACATCTCGTCCTCGATATCGTCATCAAACTTACCTTTAAATTTGTCCTCTTCCACAATCCATTCACCAGCTACCCCCAGAGTCTGCCTCTCGTCCCCTCCCGTCAGATCAACAAACTCCTCCATATCGAAATCGAACTCGCCGTCATCGTGCACCTTCTTCTCGTCCTCGAGGACAGTCTGCTGTACCAGGATACTAGTAGCAGCGCCGACACCTTTAGGTACGGCATGTTCAGATGCCCCAGTCACACTGCTCATTCCATCCTGATCCGCATCACCAATACTGCGCATATCATCATCCGCCTCTTTCCTCACATCAAGCGCCCGCTGGATACCCTCGTGCATCTCACACCTCGTATCCGCTCCATCGATCTTCTCATACCGCTTACACAACAGTGCATCCAACGAAATCACCCACCCCATAATCTTCTTTTCCAACGCCGGCTCATCGAAAACGTCATGTGCGCTTTCCGATGCGTAGCCCCACTCTGGGCTGTTGCGCTGCATATCAAGTTTGTGCGAGCATTGCATGTTGGCTTGGATGCTCGTCGAGATGCGAAGGACCAGGTCTTGGATGTGGAAACCATCGGGTGGGCGCTCCAATGGGAGGTTGAAGGATTTTGTTCGCTCGAGCGCATCTGTTGTGCGACGTCTGGGTCGATGCGGTTTCTTTGTCGTTTCGTGGGGCGGAGCGATGCGAGGCTCCTGTCTTAGAACAGAGATCTGGGTACGGGACGGAGAGCTGGAGTGTTGCTGTTCTTGCGATTTAAAGTACGCTTCCATTTCTTTAGCGCTTTGGTCGGGATGGTGCGTCTCCGGAGGCTTTGAGATTGGGCTAGACGTCTGAGGACTAGAAGAATGATCTTTGTGTTCAGCAGACGCTCGAAATTGATCAGCTACTCCTCGCGGATCGGGATTCATCCGACAATCATCGTCGAGCAGTGAACAATGTCTGACACGCTTTGAGCGGGACTGCGGTTCCGCTGAGGAAGCTCGACAAAGACCATCAATCATCAAATCAGGCATTCCTTTATCTCTGCCGCGTCCAAAGAAGTCGCGGATATCAGTGTTGTCGTTTGAATGAAGCTGCCTTGCCACTAGTCGGTCAGCTAGGTCCAATACGGGTCTATTTGGAGAAGATGAGGCGTTCTTTGGGAATGGTACTCCTCCATTTTTCCTGGCCTGCTTCTGTTGACGAGCTGGTTCGAGAGCTTGTGTACCAAGTAAATACTGTTCAAGCCCCGTACCATTTGACCCTTGCTTCGGTGGTGCAAATGGTGTATTTACATAGGCCGGTTGAGTGCGTCGGTTACGAGGAGCTGACGTTACTGGAGATGTCAACCGCTGTGAGCCTTTTCCGATGTGGTTGTAGTCCGTGAGCCCTGACTTGGTGGAGTTGATGTCAGATCGTGCGAAATGGCTCGACATGCCGGTCTGTGGCGGACGACCGATACGCTCGTGACAACCTTGACTGTCCGTGTCCCGCTCTTGTGTCCCATCGTCGAGAGCACCAGCTTCTGAACTAGGGTGCGACATATGCAGGATACTACGCTCCAGTTCGGCATCCAAAGGAGATCTCATGTTCGTCTTTGACAACGTCTGAGGTGTCAAGGGTGTCACTAACGAGGGGCGACGTGGAGTAACAGTAGGACTGGGAGAGGCAGGATGTGTGTCGCCACCTCGTTGGCTTTTGGCTGGGCTCAGGAGCTGTTCATTGTTGACAGCTTGCTTGGGCTTGATTGTAGCGTTCGTTCGAGCAATAGTCCATGGGTTAGACACTTCGACTGCACGTACACCCTTCTCATCTTCCTCTTCGACCACTGGTGCTAGGTTTTCTTGTAGAAACTCTAGATCATCTTCATCGATACCATACATGCTTGACCTCCAGTGTGGCAGCGCCTGAGCCGGATCAGTCGTGGATTGCTCGTTCCAATTCGCAAGCTCATCTTCATGTATCGTGATGGAGTTTTCGATACGACTCGGTACCTCCTCAAATCGAGGCTCATACTGCTGTGGTACAGACGTCAGTATCTCAGTATCCTGAACATCTGCAATATCCTGGATGGCCTCAGGATAGTAAGCTTTGAGCAGCTTATCCACAACAGCAACAACCACTTCGCTGTTATTGAACATGACGTCGTCCTTAGCTGGTTCGATGTTGGGGTCGTAGCTGTCAGGCGGACAAATGATGTTCATGCAGAAAAACGGGTCTTTGGCACCAGCTAAAGAAGGTGTTGACTTGCGGAGTCGGTCTTTGTAAGTTGTGATGATCCGCTTGGCAGTACCGCGAATACTTGACACAGGCCTTGCATCGATCGAGACGAAAGACCCTTGATGGGCTATCTTCGGTCCGCTTGCACCTGGCTTGGGTAGGAAAGCATGAATCTCGAAGCCCTCGGTCTCCAGAGCAGTCCCGTCGCACTGGAGAGCGCAATCCTTACCGATGACTTTTAGAGCTGCATCTTCAATGTTGGCGTCAGCCTTCGGCGCATAGACGAAGTCACCATTGTTGTTCTTCGCTTTCAGCACGCGAAGCCTGAATCGTATGGTAGGTCGGGCGAGCGCATAGGCCTGCATCAGCCGCCGGATCTTCGCAAGCAATTTCGCTGAATTTCTGATCGCTGTCTCCTTTCGGACGGGTATGAAGTCAAAGAACTTGGTAACCTTGACAGTCGTGCCAACTGGATGGGAGTCGTGTTCAGTGCTGCAAAAGTTAGTTCGTGGTAACTAACCGTACGCTTACCAGTGATATCTTACGAAGCCAGTTCGCTGTTCCGACCATATTTCAGCTTGACAGCAACTAGCTCTCCTTCTACTCGAGTAGTGACAGAGAGCGAACCACTCATGTCGGCCATGCTTGATAGTGCCTCACCGCGAAAGCCCAGCCATTTCCCTCCGACTTCTCTCAGGTCATGAAAATCTCTGATTTTGCTGGTACAGTAACGGCGACATACAAGAGGGCGATCTTCAGCTGGTATACCATGGCCATCATCTTTGACTTGGATAGAGTCGACCGTGTTAGCAGTGATATCCACAAATATGCTCTTCGCTCGCGCATCTAGAGCGTTGTCTATGAGCTCCTTGACGACGGAACTGGGATCGACGAGGACTTGTCCGGAACCGATCTGCCTTGCCGTTGTTGGTGGAAGGGCCGCGATGCCGGGTAGCGCAACGATGTCAAGGCCTTCCGCCATGCTGGTAGGAGCGAGAATGAAATTGCGGAGGTCTCATCTGTGGCAGAAGATTGAACCAGAGTGAGACTCATGGTTTGGTAGTCGGTGCCTCCATCGTGCCTACCTCTTCCAACAAAGTCGCGTCCGACGTGGAAAGAGCCTGACGCGACGCGACAGGTGTTTGGTATGCTCACTCATCGCTTTCACATCGGCGCATATTCCTGTGAGGATTGCTGCGTGAATCGCGTGTTTATACGCGATGCTTGGGTGTTAAAAGAGGATGAGTTTAGCATGCGTCATCGCGTGCTCTCAAACTGGCTCTCAAAGTATCCAATCACAGCGTAGATAGCTTTGGGGTGCGGGAAGACTTCCATAGCTCTTAAGAGGGCCCGTTGCCGCGACTGCTGTCCTTGTAGGTATCTTGCTGATTGTTTGTCTTCCATTTTCTGCCAATCGAATTTCGCGCAAGACGTATTCGAGTTTGATACTATACAGTCGCATTGTTGAGCTCCACAATTCTCTGCCGCCTAAAAACATCCCGAGGTCGCCCACAACACACATCGGGTATGCTTTGCACACTCCGACATATGGATTCGTGCTAATTACGTAGCCTATACTATGGCGTATGCAACTGATGCTGCGCGATGGCGAGCCCTTTCGATACGAGACGCAGACGCGAATGGCCACTTCATCTACTCCGTCAAGTCCACTCGAATCTACTGTCGACCAACGTGCCCCGGACGACTAGCGCGTAGAGCAAATGTCGGATTCTATGCGACACCATTAGAGGCAGAGGCAGCTGGGTTCAGGGCTTGCAAGAGATGCAAGCCCAACACCGTACTCGAAGATCCACAGGAGCGAGCAGTGGAGAAAGCATGTGTATTGATTGATGAAGCCTTGAAGAACGAGGATACCAGTGCATTGAGATTGCAAGACCTAGCCAAGAAGGTCAACCTCACGCCACGGTACTTCCACAAGATCTTCAAGGACAAGACGGGGTTAACACCGAAGGAGTACGCAAAGAGAAAGGCGACCGAGCGCAACAGCCCCAGCACGGTATCGACATCGGCGACAGCAGCAGATGGAAGTGAACAGTCTTGGGATTGGGATACGTTCAATTTCAACGATCTAGTTGACTTGGGTACAGACTCAAGTGCCCTCAACACGGACGATCTCGCCGTGCTCGAAGGGCAACCCTCTATGATCAATCCCGATCTCGACTTCGATATGACCAGCTTTATCCAGTCTTGGAGCGACAGCTATGCATTCGACCAATCTGTCTCGTGGCCTGCCGGCTGCAACAACCTTGCCGACCCCTTCCTTGGATTGCCAGCCACTACGGGCTTGTACGAGAAGACGAGGCCGTCCGTCTCCACACTTGAGTTGGACGCCGCGACCGTGTTCGACAGCGATAGCGCAACTGGTACCCTACAGACGTAGTATCCGTAGTATCAACATGTAGACTGCGATGCGCATCTTACAAGTTTGTCGCATTGTGCCCTTGCCATCACATCTACTCGCGTGATATGGCCTCTCCGTACTACCAAGTCGACATCGCGCTTCGTGTACGTCACACATCGTGTGTAGCAATCGCTTGGGACGTTGTAAACATCAGGCAACCTAATCTTTGCATCGTCAGCAACAGTTCGAAATCGAGATCCATAACGTGAGAGTGATGATGCTCTTCAGAGACCAAGTTATAAGCAGCGACGGCGTAGCATTTGTCGATGCTAGCCATACCTTTTCCGGCTCTTCCTAAAGTGTTTAATGGTCGATGTACATATCATCTTTTGAGCTGTGTGTCGCGCATCGCGAAGATGCGGATGCTGTGAATGGAAGGAGATGTTGAACGTACCATGAAAAATGAAGCACAGCAAGCAGCGGCTATAGGTCAGTGTATAATGATCAGTGCGCTACAGGTAATGCGCGCCAGTGCCCCGTGAGGCTTTGCGCAGTTTGCAACATGGTGTTGCAGAGTTGGTTTGGCGGCGTGTAGGAGCGGATGAAGAAAAGTTGAGGGCTCAGAGGAAGCTGCAGAAGCCGCCGCCAGGGACCCACATCATTCAAGCGAGACGCTAACGGCATTCACTCGCTAGCACCACTAGCATCCATACATTTGCTGTGAACTTCAAATCTCCGACACTAAGCTTGTCGCTCAATGTATGTACTTAGCTGTCGAGAATATCGAATCGATCTTTCGATATCCATGAGTTTCAACCATGACATGAGAAGGCTCACTCCCCAACAGCCTCCCAAGCACTCAAAGGATCCGCCCAAATCTCCCAATGCCCTATCTTCCCCTCATGATCAAACCCACTAAACCGATAGATGAACTGCTCATCCCATCCCTTGCCCGTCTTCTTGCTCGTAAACCTTCCTTTACCAACTACACTCACCATCCCAGCATCTGCATCCACAATGAACCCGTTCTCTCTCGGGAACGCATCATCCGGCAAGACCATGTCCAGCACATCAGTCATCAACTTGAAATACTCCTCGCAACCGTCTTTGCCAGAGAAGGTCTTGGCTAGGAAAGGCAGCCGCGAGCGTGACCACTCAGGGCCATGCTCTGTGATCTTGGGCGAGCTGGTAAAGTAATGTGATAAGAGGTCTGAGGGAGGAGGGGGCGAGATCAACGCGCGGCAGAAGGCGTACGTTGTTACGCGCAGCTCAATACTGCGATCCGAAAACATGACTGGTGGGTCTTTCTCCGCGAAGGTCCTTCCGAGACGGTGAAGCGGGTATGTTGGTGTTGCTGGCCCTCGCTGTAAGCGATGTATATGGGCCCTTTTGCGTGCTGATCGGTCGGGCTGTATGCAGTATCGCACGCTCCGAGTTGTGATTTGATATACCCGCAAAGTGGCGTGCGCACCGGGCGGTGATCCCGAGAGGAAGGGTATGCTAACAGGTTGTCGGTTCTGTTGCGAAGCGGTGGGCGTCAGCCGAAGACGCGGGTAAGATTTTGGTTCTGGCAGCTTTCAACGTCGAGTTAATGCCCTTGATCCAGGAATAATGTCAGTAACGAATATCCCAGGTGGGTACGCTGTGGCCAATAATGCGACATGAGTGCGTGGAGGGAGATGCGATCGATGATGGTTTTGGAGAGCATGCACGAATGACTGGCGATGAAGTCATCGTGATATTTACCTACAGCGCCTGCATGCATTTACATGTTGGATTCAAGCGAAATGGCGTGAAGGAGCGTTGTTCCACCTGAGCACGATAGGGACGATGAGCACGCCTTCCAGAGTCGTATTCCTCCGAGTGATCCGAACCTACCCTTCATGGTGGAGGTGCTCAAGATGGTCATGTGCATCTTGCACTTCGCGCGTAAGGCCAAGCTACAAAAAATACTAGCAACTACAGCCACAACGGATGGTGCATAATTTTTTATTCCCAAAAAGCACCCAATGTAGTTATCGCAGGGTCCGCCAACGCGACCAGCGCCAACATACTGTAAGGGGCGTATGTTAGCAAGGCTGTCGCCCAATCTACAGCGTAGCATGCATATGCGGCTTACATAGACCAATGTAACGGTGCTGCGGAAACTCTCTCTCGTGGCTTCGACCTAGATATCCAGATGAGTCAGATGAATTGCATGCAGCTGGTCACGCAAATCAACCTGTTGTTTGCAATTTCTTCTAAGTAAGCGTGAAGGCTGCATTGCTGCCCTGTGGAAGGACTTATATTTGAGTTTGATTAGTGTTGCCCTTGGGCCTAATTCATGTCCAAGGTAGTAGAGAAGCCTGCTGCCCACTCCCAAGATCATGTAAACTGTAATGGCAGAAAGCTCTGCTGACAACTAATTGCAAAATGCTGTTCCGTGGTATCCATACCGTGATTTACGGCCCCGTAAACGCCTCGCGCTGTGTGGTTATATACAAGTACAAATTTGCCCTTGGCCGGCGAGCGCTAGTGACCTCAGTCCATCGCGGTGAACAGACATACTTGCCTGGCCATTTGACTGGCAAGCAAGATCTCCCTGAAGACTTGATCCATGCCGCCCCTGAAATGGATCGTGTAGCTGTCCACTTTGCCCTTCCTCTTCTTTTCTCCCCAGACAAGTTTGATAGGCTTTGCATCGTCGCATCGCTTGCCCGTCCTGCTTCCTGGCTTTACCCAGTCTTGCTGGTATTCGTACAAAGTCTCCGGCATAGCATCGTCGTTTGGATCTCCCTGCTTCCACACGAAGCGGCGTCCACCATATGTAAACCGTCGTGGTGACCATGGTATCTTCTGTTGCCTATCCGGGTATTCCTTAATCGGTTGTGAGAATGGTCCGCGCAGATGTATGCACCGCGACTTGTAAGCTGCGTTTTTGGTCATGGCGCGCTTCTTGTCGATGCCGGAGAGAAGAACGTTTATGCATGGTTGTGGGTATTCGGCGACACGGAAGAAGTCTGCAGCGTTGACTTGGCTATCGTCGCGATGGGTAGCTTCAAGCGTATATAGAGCATATTTGTCAGAGTAGTCGCGTGCGCTGTAGATGTACTTCCTAAAACCGGAAGAACCCGTCCATTCTCGTGTGCGGTGAAGATTGTACGTTGTTGTTGGCTGGTGAGGATCGAGCAACGAGTGGTATGGTGTGTTTGGGGAGGGGAGTTCGTCAGGTGGGGCATGTGAGACGGGCGAGTATGAGGTCTGCCATGTGAGGAGGCTGTGGATCTGAAGCATGTCAGTCACGAACCAACAGTTGAACAGGAATTTCTACTCACTGCAGACAGGCTCTCACTTTCCTCGTCCAAGTCTCCATTCGCTCCCCACTGGTTCGGTGCGGGTACAAAGACGCACTCGTTCCCATCTTCGTCGATTTGGTCGCTCCCACTTTCAAGATGCGGCCTTAGCGCCCTCTGCCTCTCCCTGTGGATGTTGATTTGCGTCTTGATGATGCGCACTTGCTCGTCTGAGTTGTCGTCCGGTGATATGCTGGCATGCGATTGCTCAATCTCTTGCTCCAACGCCAACGCTGCTGCCTCATGTTGCAGATAGGAAGTGTCATATAGCCAGGCATGTTCGGATTCAAACGCGGAGCTTCGCAAAAGCTCCAGATGCTCCCGTGATGTGAGTGCTGGGCGATCCATAGTTGGGCTTTGGGTGGTGTGAAAGTTCAGGCTGGCGAATATTTGAAGGCGAATTGTTCCAGACGGAGGAGTAAAAAGCAAGTCGAAATGAAACGGGGTCGTGATTCAGCCTGGGGTCGCGAGGCAGCAAAAGGAATATGGAGGCACACGAGGAATGAGGGATGATGGGCTGAACGTAACTGCTGGGCTGGCAGCAGCTGATGAAGCACCATAAGAGTCAATGGGCGAGTAGCGTCGCGCTGCATCCCCGTCGCGCCCGCCGCGCCCTGTCATACCGACTGTCTGCTGTTGTGGCACATGGCGTTCTGGGGGGCCAAGTTACGGTGGCATGGATAGGCTTCACGGAAGGCTGCGCTAGGCTAGCTCAATCCGGTAGTGCCAGACTGACACTCCATACTCAAGGGCTGGAGCAATGCATCGGAAAATTAACTCTGCGCATTAACTTTTCCCTCATTTGCAAGATTACAGCACGGTTAGTTGCATGCCCTCGGCGGTCCCGATGATCTGTTATGCTTCTCGTGCGATGGGCCTGGAGCTGTCGACATGCTTTCTGTCCTCATCTAACATGGCGTGAGAGGAAATTGCCATTGCATCCTTTCGTTTGCTGAATGTTTGAACGCATTCGGTCCTAGCGTAAGACCAGCCCATGGCGCATGACGAGTCTCACCGTCCTTACAGCAGGCGACTGCGGGCGCTTAGCAGGCATCGGACTCCGAACATGCGGTCTGTTCTTTGTCCAACCAAGCCACCCACCACTTACAGCATGCAGCTAAAAGCCACGGCTTGCGCCGCCCTCACCATCCCTGGATCTCCAGTGTCTTCGAGAAGCGTTTGAAACGCCCGGTACAAACCTTACCCATATCTCACGCAGGGCCAGAGGATCCCGCGCTGAATGAATGCCGTGACGCGCGCTGGGCATACGAGGGAGCGTTGCCCTGGGACCTGGCTGCTGACAGGCATTGCCCCACACCGTTATCAGACGTGTGCAGCGCCTTCTCCCGGCTGTACGGAAGGAGAAAACCAATCTCTTATTCCTTTGAGCACAGCAACAACCGCAACACTGCACGTAGTCGCAAGCGACTACACGCTGTTCTTGTAGGATGCGACGAAAGCAACGTAAGTGTTCGGAAAGATGACAACACGTACTGAAAAGCAACGTCAGCAATGCCTCTTCACTCTGACCGCAGCACGATATAGCTTTCGTCATACCGAAGAAACCCGATGAAAAACTAAGATCACCACAAGCATCAAGTACCCCGTTGGAACAAAGGACCACTGGGTTGGTGACATGCCCGGGCAATATCGGAGCACAAGCGAGACTTGCTACCACTGCTCCGAGCGCATCTTCTGACTCTAACGAGAGGATCTGAATGGGTTATTGATTTATTGAAGCCAAGCGATATTGAGATATTCCAACATTGTTCCTCCGCCCCCCGCTGTCTCGGTGTGACGCATGGCATGTGCTCATGCGAGGGCTGCCAGAGGAATATGTAAGTGAGTTCTTGTGGATCTTCACTACATGTTACAAGTCTTAGGGGCATAAAGGATACGCAAATTTTGGAGAAGACACGCGTATCGCATACGAACTAGAACTCGAATGGCGTCACAACGGATGTCTAGGACAAGATGCAACGGTGCGCCGAACAGGTCGCCGAACTGTGGCAGGATGGCTCACCGCTTCGATTTTGTTGTGGGACTGGCTTGCTACACAGCATCGCGTGGATGGTCGTACTGCCAGTCTGTAATGCAAGGTACGTTGCTTTGACTTCATTACCGGCACTATGGCTCCGACAGGTTGCGATTTCTTGAACGCCTCTTGGGTAATGCAATTGTACCAACACCATGATCTCCTCCATCATCTTTGTTATAGTTAAGGAAAGAGCATATTGTGCGAGATGACTGGTACATGGTAATGGCTTCATTGGTTGATATCCATCGATGATACCCAACTCAGAACAGGGGATCGCTTTCTTTGATCGGTACCAGTTCACCCTTGCCTTTGAAAACCTCCACAACATGGGCCTGCTCGCTCAGCATAAACCTAGACGTCTGGTTTCCTACGCCAGCCAGCCCCCTCCACCTCTCCAGATCCTCCTTCTTCCTCTTGTCGCCCAGCGCCTCCTTCGCCCTCTTCCAGTGGCCTTCCGAGAATGCGATCAACGTCGTTATTTTTTTCTCCTTGATGTCGTAAACCGCAGAAACGATGCTTCCCGTCTCCTCGAGCCAGTTTATCTGCCACAGTTCACCGGGGCGGATACATTGGTATGTTGCGCGCTGGTAGTTTATGCGGCCAGCCATTGGACCACCGTGGATGGCATAGACGACGCGGTCTGAAGAGAAGCACCATAGTTCGTACCGCCACTTTTCGGGGTTTCCGTTGCTGTCTTGCGCATCGTAATCGTAGATTAGATGCGTGTCGAGAATGTCTTTGTCGAAGCTGGGGTCGAGCTTTGTGTTCGTGAGAAAATCGGGAAGGTTGTCGCCTGGTGCCATGGTGTCTGAAAGTCTTTTGTTTGGTATGACGAAAACGAGGATACCAAGTATCATGATGGATCTCAGTAGGATAATATAGTCGATGCTCGGCACTACCGGATCGATGACGTAGGTGCAGTTTGAAGAGCTAGATCTCGCGCGATGCGACGCTACTAGGAAGTCGGCATCTAGAATCGCCTTTGCAATCGGTCCGGGTGGGAAAGAAATATGGTCGAGTGCACCCATCCAGTAATCGTACTGGGTACACCTACCTAACATCGTACTTTTTTGTAAAAAGGAAGACGCGAACGCCGTAGATCAGATGTTCGCCACAAACTCAATTACTTTGCACCGCGCAGTAAAAGCGAGTGAAGCACAGATCAAACTTCAAGGAGCTGCAAGTTATTGAATTAGTAGTTGTGAATTTTGAGCCTTGAGCAGCAAGGTATCTTGCGAACAGGAGTTGATTCGGCTTTGACAATATTCCAGGCATTTGGGGCAACAACAAATTAACACGAGAACAATCTGTTATAGCGGAGGAAGATGAAAAAGTAAGAGATGAGAATGCAGGGCTACACAAAGTACCAATACAGGCTTAATGCGAGCGACCAAAGGTCTACGAATTCATCTAGCCGGGGCGGACCGTAACACATCGTCATGAGCAAGAAGAGCATTCATATTGCAGTGTTCTCGAAACGCAATCCAGAAGCTTTAAAGTGAAGTCCAACGATTATTGTCCACCCAAGACGTGTCCGTCTTACTAAGAGGCTCTGGCCGGTGATCAGTCAACAGAAAACCGCCTAACCGTATGGGGTAACATTATTTCTTTGCTAGCCCACCTAACAGCACGGTCCGATCTATTCAGGAAAATATAACGCTGGCTTACCATATCATATCATAATTTCGGTCTTGAGATGTTAACGGGCGAATGTAGGAGAATGTTGCAAGGTTATCTGTCGACGGTATAAAGGCCTGAGTGCCTTCAAGAGATGGGCAACCAGTACATTCATTACTCTCAACACTTTAACCTACAACCTGAAAATTGACCATTTTCATACAATCCGTCTAATCCTCAGTTTGCCCAACCACTCTAAACCAGCCTTTCAATATGTCGACTCCCTCTCTTCGCTCGGTCATCGGAGTCCCCAACTCAACAGCATCGATCAAAGACTCCGTTCTTATTATCATCGACGCCCAAGACGAATACATCTACGGTAACCTACCCGCCCAAGACTACAAGGAAGTCAACGTGGTCATCTCCAGCCTCCTCGACAAATACCGAGAGCAAAACGGCCACATCATCCACGTCCTGCACAGCACGGGCGATGATGAAGCCGCCATCTTCAAGCCTAATGTAACACAAGATAGCGAAGGCAGAGTAAAGAAAACGATTACGTGATATGCTTGCTTCTCTCGCTTACGCCTTACTGTAGCCTAGAAACTTGCTCTTAACCTACGCTCTGCGCATAGAGGAGATGATAAGAATTATTCTCTTTCCCCTACATACAACTACCCTTACTAAACATAGGAATAAAGAGCTATCTCCTACTATTTTCTTAACGTAGGTGCATGCTTCGCGGATTAGCAGGCTTTGCGAAACACCTGTACTAAGTGTTATGGGCGGAAAGAGGCCTGCTAACAAGTATGCATTTGTCCTATATATAGAAGAAGAAAGATAAAAGAAGAAAGATTCTTCTTACGCGTATAACTTGCCTCTTGTAGGCCTTATGCTTTACTACTTTAGTTAGCGCTAAGTCGTACGTTATATAACTAGAGTAGTCTACTTAATACAGCGTAGCCTCTTACACTACACAACGTAAATTATATAAGAGAAAGTAGATATAGTAGAAAGAGACTCTTATAGTTTATAATAGTTAGCAACTATTAACTCTAAAGAAATTTAGGGCATATAGTAATAGAAAGAAAGTAAAGAAAAGAGTATATATTAAGGTAGGTAAACTATTATAAAGACGCTATAGACACTATACTAAGATAGAATATAACTTACGCACCTATAAGTAAGATGTAGTAGAAGTTTCTAATTAATTTAGTCTAACGTAGATAATAAGCGAGTAGAACCTTTAACTAAGTAGAACTTTTTTACTAAAACCTAACTAAACTTTAAGTATACTATAATACCTTAACTAAGTAATATAAAAAAGACTTTAGACAAAAAAGATATATAGCTTACTTTATAGACTATCTAATAAGATATAATACTTAAGCTATAACACGCTGTAGCTACTTATAACGTTGCTAAGAGTATACTATAAAGACAACTTACTAGAATGCCTTAATAACATAATATAATATCTAAATTAATAGCTCTTTAAGGCTTAGAAAAGGTAGCAATTATCTAATATATTCTAAAGCTAGTAGAGTAAGAATACCTGCCTTAGCTTACTAACGTTAAGAAGATAGCTAATAATTTACTCTAGGTCTACAACTAGAACCTAGTTAGTAAAAGATAAGCTATAAACTTTATTAAGCGCTATCTAGAGCTTAAAGTTAAGTTTAATTAAAAGTATAACTATATTTAAGCTCTCTGCAAGAATTCTAAAGTTATAGAAGACTAGTTCTATCTAGTATAGAATACTAAAGCTAAGTATAGTATCTAGAATAAAGATATCTATAACTTTAATAAGATAGGCTTTATAATAGACGTAATATTAACTAGAGTAGTAGTTATAGTAGTAGAGCGTTAAGAATAGCTAAAAATAGTATAGTAAGGTAATTAGAAGTAGGTTATAGCTATTTAGAGTATTAATATAATAGAGTAGATAATTCTACTCTTTATTATCTTTACTAGTAAGCACTACCTCTTAACCTAGTA